TGCCTATTGCGCAATAGGGATGATGACTAATTTTTTTTTCTTCGTTTATCAGGTAGATTAACAAAAAGTGTTAGACAAGTATTTTTTTTTTCACATAATATAAACATTGCAGAGATATATTTATTTGAAAAGTCGCATGACGTCACATTTTGGTACACTTTTAAGTGAAAATTTACTAAAAAGTGACATCACGAGCCCCTACTCCCAAACTTTGACGCGCTATAACTTTGTAATTTTTTTTTTGATTGCCCAAAGAAAAAATACGTGTCCATTATTTTTTGATCATCTAACTGACGGACTAAATAGAATTTCGTTTACTGTACCCCGTCATCACCCCTATTATAATTGGTCATTAACCGGAAAACGAGCGCCAATGGAATTCGGGTAAACGACTAAGTGTAAATGAACGGAGTCGACTACGCCCGTATTCGGGTAGATTTCCTTTTGTTTACCCTTCACCGTTTTCCAGCCCGTATTGCAGTGTCAATATTGCTTCGGGTGCCTGAATTCGAGGAATGTCTTTCGTGCACCCGAATAGCGCCGGGTTAACGGCCAAATGTAATTGCGCCATAAGACGTCATGAAGGCTAGAGAAACGTTTCTGCGATATATTTGAAAACAAAAAAATGTTTATTAGGTTTTCACGCACATCACTCATTAAATAAAACTTATTTATTAATGGACGTTTCGCCTATCCATCGCATTCCTGAAAAGGATGCGAAACGTCAATAAATAAATTAATTCAGTTCATATAACCCGTTAAAACTGTTTAATTGAACAAAAAAAAATGGTTTCGGTTTTTTACTAATCTACGCAACAGAATTATAAATATCCACTTGTTATGGAGACTAAAATTATAATAACACTAGCTGATCCAGCGAACTTCGTACCGCCCTAAAAAAATAGGGGTTGTCCAGCGGACAAAATTGTGAATCTAAACCATTCTCAGATCCCCTTGAACACACACAAAAAATTTCATCAAAATCCGTCCAGTCGTTTAAGAGAAGTTCAGTGACATACACACTCACAGAAGAATTATATATATAAAGATATGAATGTTTTCAAAAACTTATCAAATAAGCTATTTTCAGCTCTGAATAGCGATTCTGTATAATAAAAGCTCGCTTCCCATTTGAGTAGCTGCCATTTTAGACATGAGTTTGATATACATTACGCCATAATACGGCAAAATGTCGCTATGCCTGTAGAAGCAGCCAGTATTGGATGTTTCACATTTGTGAGAAATCCAAATAATTGTGATTGCATCTTACAGAATACCTGATGCTAATTCTCAGCTATAACTATGGCCAAAACTTCAAGAATCACATGAAAATTGCGATGAAGTAAAAAATATATATAAACTGGAAACCAATATATGTAAATTAAAAGCCCGTATTGCGATAAACAACATTATTAAGAACAAACATGCAATACAATAATATTATTCAACATATAACTTCATACACGCAATGATTTTCACTATCAATGAGATATACATATATTATGTAGTACTACTGTATGCAAATTTAGTTGTGTAGTAACTCTTCTCGAGTCTTGGTTTGATCAGCTGATTTCTCGATGACATCATTTCTCGGAAGAAAACTTCACTCTATTTTTTTTTAAACTTCGTATAGCGTAGTCTCTACGTGAATTGCAGCGTCCGTGTGCTTTGGTACAAAAATGCTAATGAAAAATGACTGATCCATAATAATATAATATCTGAACGGGTTGCGTTGAAATTTAGATTATTCAAGACTTACTTGAAACGGTTGTTCAATATGAGCAAAGCTGCGGGCAAAGGCTAGTTAAAAATGCGAATTTAAGATATCCTATCAATTCCTAAAAGCATTCGCTTCTTTTGATTTATGAAAAGGTCGTCATGTCAAGTAAAATAAGCTGTTTGACATTGACAGTATAAAAAATAAAGTGTCAATTGTTGGCACCTTTATTTAATATGAATATTAGTAGCGATTTTACTATTCTGAGAGAACAAATAATTAAAAACTTTTCTAGAGAATCATTAAATATAAGTGCCTTTTTCCATTCTATGGTCAGGTGACCGAAATCGCATGGGATTGGCGAAGACTAAAATGATGTCACACGCTAGTAAACTTCCGGTCAAAGTGATATTACATTGAATCATACACATACTAGTGAGACGCCATATCGTCCAGAGAAACGTTATCGCGGCAACTTAAAAATTGTTTTTTTTTTAGTTTTTATTTACTGAAATTGAATTAGTGACATTTTATGAACTCCATAAATATTACTAAATACCGTGAGATCGTTTTCTAACACTGGTCAAATACCCCATTATATGAAGTAGGTTTTAGGGAAATAAGAAAACTTAGGAATAAATATTTAGGTTCAAGTCTATTGTAACTCGGCAGTTATTTTCTTTATTCGTATTTTAATTGCTTTGATTACCTATGCCTTGACACGTTTGATTGCAGCCAAGCGCATATGACAACAAAATTAGCATTAATAATTTATTCTCACTCACAAGAATTTTATTGTTGACTAGCTTTTACCCGTGACATTGTATAAATTCGTTTTTTTAAGACTAAAATAGTTATATTTTTATTTTTTCAAACATTTAACTGCTAGATATTTTAATATAAAGAAAATTGTACTAGAAAGAAATCCACGTGGGCCAGACAGCTGGCTGGTTGAACCAGCACCCTCCGCTATCTGGGTGGTTGCACTGACCATTATGCTACCGCGGCCCTAATGGTCGTGTCGAATTTTCTCTAGTATTTTTAAGCTGCAAGCTTCAGTTAAATCGTTTTTACGTTTTTCTGTGTGTTTATGCCGCTACAGCCATCGTCACGATAAACTTTTTTATTTGAAAAGTGTGGTGAGAAAACACAAAACGCGACTGCCATAGCTAGCCTACACACGCTTAACAGTCACTAAATCAGTCGCATTTTGAATAGGAAGTCAATGCTGGGCAAGAATAGCTGAGCGAGTATTATTTTTGATAGCTCTTGTCTATGTGAAAAATGTATAAACACTAAAGTTGTAAATATTTTGATTAACCACTATTTACACAGTTTTCACAAAAGTCGCGATATACCGTTTTCCCTACTGAAATGGTCAGCCCACAACCTTCTTTACCCTCAATTCGCCCATAATGTATAGAACTGTTTCGATTTTTTTCACTTTTTACCATTTTTAAAGTCATCCGCCCTAGGTCGACACTCACACATAGAGCTTGTCAAGCTCGTGCCTCTTCGTGAGGCGTTTCTTTTTCGTTACGATTCCGAATAGGGTGCGTTGCAGTAAGGAGGTTCATTAAATGAATATTGAACGGCTCGAGATTGGTTTATCTTGATCTCTTTCCGAGTTCATACGTCTGCTACGACCATAACTCGCACATAGTAATTTGTGTTATTTACGGGATTGTTACAATGTACCTTGTTCTTAGCGAGTTTCTGATACTTCGGCACTGTTGCAAGCACTAATGATCACGGTGTAACTCAGTCATGATCAATTAAATGTTCAAAAAAAATAAAAATATAACTATAGATAAAACTAGTTTTAACGAGTTAATGCACGAAACTTAATTTATTTATTGACGTTTCGGTAGTTGGTTGTTTACGGTAGTTAGGGTCAAATAAATAATCTCAAAATTACTAAAAAGGATTTAAGAAAAGTACTTTATTAACTAAATTAACTAATAAATTCATACATAGACAATAAAATTTAAAAAATCTTCCAATGAAATAGCCGAACGCTCAATAAAAGTCTTTCGAAGGTAGGTACAAAATTAAATAAAAAATCATTATTCTGACGATGCAGACCTGCAAACGTTACGAAACGTCAATAAATAAATAAAGTTTCGTGAATTAACCCGTTAAAATAAGTTTTATTTAATGAGTGATGTGCGTGAAAACCTAAGAAACAAATACCTAATATAACTATAGGTTACTCTAATCCCGAAATAATATTAGGTTTCTGGGGAATTCACAAAAAACTTAAGTTCACTAGCCACAGTCGCGGGTGGCCGCTAGATTTTTTCTAATCCTTCATATCGTTTACCACCACATATACATAGCGTTATGCCAACGAGGTGTATTTGAGCAATTTACGTAATTTTAATCTTTACCCTCTGAACTCTGAGCGTTTGGCGTAAGAGAAAGCTACGGTAGTTAAATTCATGCATTCTTACATACTCAGTGACATATAATTAAGCTACATTTGTCCCAAGACTTTAAAATAACAAAGAGTTGTGACTTTGCCGATTTTCTCTTGTCCATTTATTGAACTAAACTTTTTTTTAAAGTGAAACCTTTTTTTTAAATATTCCATATTTAAAAAGAAGCTCTCAAAACTTTGTTTATTTTTTATTGAAAAGAGTTTTGTTACAGGTTTCGAGTTATAATAAGTGTAAATGAAGTCTAGCCGCGAAAATATGGCCTAAAGCCAATTTTCTTACCTGTGGTGTGAATAGAAAATTACTGCAGAATCGTATGAAACTTCCGCAAAAGGTCGTTACAATCTTAGAGGGGAAATCAAAACACTATTAAAGCTTTCTTAAACTTTGATTTACAGCTGACTTCTGCTAAACATAATCGCGGCCTAGATGATGAATTTATCCTAATATGTCAAATAGTTTTCTTAGGTTTTATAAATTATATAATATACATCCAAATTTACTATAAAAAAAAAAGCTTGATAATTCAGCTTATAACTAACGAATAGAGAGACAAACGAGGTCTCTTTTTTTTTCCTAGCTGACAAAAGTTGAAAAACTAATATAAACTTTTGTAACGCTACCAAGATCAAGATAATTCTATTTTCAAATACCTTTTAAATATTGCTCTTTAAAAAGAAACTCCAGAGACTATACCATGTTTTCAAAACGTCGACAAAGGTTACGTCAAAAAGTTTAGAACTTAATAAAAAAAACAAAAAGCCGTCGCTCGTTTAATACGCCACAGCTTGTTATAGAACTAGAACCGACACCCGTGTTAAAACCTCCTTTCTAGAGCCACTCACCTCTCTCCGCGAAGGCGTCGCTTCCTCCATTTATATCCTGCAAGCTTTGCTCGTCCGTGCCAACTTCATTGCCGAATGTTTGTTCCCGGAACACAACATTGTCGAAACCAGGTCCCGCGTGCGAGTTCGAGTGCACAAGACTATTAACACTTTCCGACGCGTAAGGGAACACCACTCGTGGACTCCTAGCCTTCCACCCATTATAGCCGCTGTAAAAACTGTTTCGTAACGCTGGAGCGAAAGGAGCTACAGTCTGATAAGGTTCAAACCCGAAACTGGGAGCGTAAGGGCGGCCATACCTCCCTTGGTAATACTGAGGCGCCTGGAACTGCCTAAAACGAGGCAGGGGCTCGTAAAACCTCTCGTTTCCCGAAGGCAGCTCTTCGATCTTCGTCGTAGACTCGACTTCGGGCGACGTGAACTCATAGTCTGTGCTCTCGTCGAATTTGACTTTCGAATTCAACGTCAGATCTATCTCTCCTTTGCCGTAGTTCTGATGGTTTTCCGCGTCGTCCAAGAACAACACTCTGGATTGTCTACCGCGAGTCCTGTACTTCGGTACGAACATGACGTTCCTGTAGGGTCTCTGGTAGACTAGGCTGAGCGCGCGGGTCGGCTCGACGGCGGCCACGGACGCCGCGACGAGCAAAATCACTTTCCATTTGTTTTCGCTCAACATATTGCGACGGTCAGTGCACCGATTTCACTTTCATCTCATTACGGAAAAGTTGGGTGTACGAAAATTTGCTGTAGCTCCCGCGCTCTTTTGGATTTAGAACATCGTTCGAATGTTTTGTTATTTTTTTTTTCAAAGACGCGTGCACATTTTCGGCGTGTGTGCGACGCGCGCGCTGCCCGTGCTGTCTCTACGCGGACTGACTTGTTTCCCCTCTGCTTTGCTTTGGCTGATGTTACATAAAACTGCATGGCAGTTTAGTGTTTACGTAACCTGGTGACGTCGTCGACAATCGGATAAACAAATTATGTGATAACGCCTCTTCGGTGGAGCTTTTTTCTCGTAAACACAGTTTAAGTACGGAATCGAAATCGTTTTTAATGATGACTTTGTAATGTGCGTAGACACCTCTTTGAAGAACTTCATTCGAAACACTGTCCCTCCTAATTAATTAACGAAGACTAAGCTTGGATGCTATGAAGCTTGACAAATGTCACTTGAGTGACATGAACAAAACACGGCGTAACTAGTTCAAGCTTATTCCTCGTTTATTAATAAGAGGGTACATGATCTAAGTTATAATATAGCTTCAATCAGTCAAATAAACGCTCCTTAACAAACTGAAGATTTGTTATGCTTTATTTGTAATTTATTATGCACAACTTTCATAAACATCCTTTGTGATATTGCCAGGGCAATAAAGATGCAAAGCCATTCATTTCTAGTTTATTAAGATAAGCTGTTTGTCTTCCGTGTAACCAAAATAAATAAATGACAACCAATTAAAATTCGCTTTGGTTGCAACGTGGTTTCAAAATAGTTTCTAGGTTTTTTAAACCACGATGCAAACGAACATTTCATTCCAAAGAAAATCTTGTAAAGCCATTTTTTTGAATGCCATAAAATTTTAATACCAACATGCAGCCTATTATTATTTATAACGTAACTATTTACACAGATTCCATTAAAATTAGTTCAGTTGTTTAATAATAATACTTTAGAAATATTACATTTCATAAAAAAAGTAAATGCACACTTATATTAAAATCTCTTAATAACTTACTGCAAAATAAAATCTCTCCTATGAATTTGGAAGCTGCCATTTTGGACTTTAGTTTGATATGCATTACGCCATTACACGACAAATTGTCGTTAAACTTGTAGAAGCAGCCAGTGTTAGATATTTAACATTTGTCAGAAATCCGAATAAATAAGATAGTAAGTGTGATTGCATCTTACAGAATACCTATGCTGTGCCCTTAGTACGAGTTTTACAATTACGAAAACTATGATAGTTTTCGTGAGCTCTCACTCGTACTAAGGGTACTGATTTTATTGTTTTTGTTTCAATACAAATAAACGTGAGCGTCAGAATGGCCGGTCACTACCCATATTTTACATCGAAATAATTATAGGAAGTTGCTACCTAGTTGCTTCTAGTTGCTACTAATCGTTAAATAGTTGCTACCCCCGATTAAAACAAAATAAACTACTTTTTAAGGTGACCAGCCATTCTGACGTCAGAATGGCTGGTCACCTATCCAGTGAGAACAAACTGCGTAACTAAATAGAGATTTTTTTAAAGCAATAGTTGCTACTAGGTTGCTACCTTAATATATATCGTTTAGGACCTCCTAGCTTTTAAGGACAAAGAGTTATAATTAATTGAGCGTTCAGACATTATTAAAACTGAACGCCTGTAGAATTATACCAGCAAATTCGAAATCAAGTGCCTAATGGGTACTGCATAAGCAGGCGCTGCGTAATAGAATTTATTTTAAAAGTTGTCTACTATACATTATGTAATTTATGTTTTTAGTTGTAATAATATAATGAATAATATTATTTTACCGTGCGAAACAAGACAAAATAATTGTTAATTTTTGTATTGAGTTATTTTTGTTTGTTTGTAAAAAATATTTCTGATGAGGGTAGGTAAATTTTGACTTTATTATGCAGAACAGTCTACTGTTATTTTTGGTACAATTATCGCATTCAATGTCTGTATTGTTTTATTATAGTAAATTAATACCAATTACCAAGAGGTCGATGGCGCTAGCGCATTTGGCTGCGATTGTTGAAGTTAAGCAACATTCGCAATGGTCGATCATTGGATGGGTGACCGAAAATCTTCTATCTCGAGTTCCTCCGTGCTTCGAAAGGCACGTTAAGCTATTGGTCTCGGCTGCATCTGCAGTTGTTAGCACCCGCCAATCCGCACTGGGCCCGTGTGATGGGTCATGGCCCAATCTCCCTATTACATCCATAGGGAAGGCCTGTGCCCCAGCAGTGGGGACATTAATAGGCTGATGATGATGATGATAATGAATACCAATTGTGCGGCACGCCGGGCTGTCGTAGTAGCGAGAAGTTACCGACCCGCACTTATTAGGTGGAGGGTCGAACGGAGGTGTCTTGACGATGGAAGTGGACTATAGCTGGCGAAATAAAACCTTTCAAGATTCGTTGTCGAAGAAAGTCGGTGTGCGCTGGTAATGGATGGCCGGTAAGAAGTCTTCAAGATCCAGGGAGAACCGCTAATTATTCCTTCTTCTTATTAGTAGGAGCGCATGTCGCTGAATGACATAAACAAATCTTAGTACCAAACAAATCGCAAAAGTAAAGTTAGTTTAAAACAATAATCTCTATGAATTCATTTCAATTTTTGAATTTGTTCCACCTGGATTTGGTGAAATGGGCCATTACAAGGCACATTGCAAACGTGGGAATATATGGCAGTGTTACAACGATCTGAATAATAGAATTACAAAAAGTAACAAGAAAGTTATGTGTTGTATAATATATTTAAAGAGAAGAAACAACTTTATTTTAATAAATTATTATTGTTAGTCAATATTTGTTTTATTTATTGCATTAATCACTTTAAATAAGTTTAGGTATCGCATAAGCAGGAAGTGGCGCCTGTTCAAGCAATACCCATTATGCACTTGATTTCGAATTTGCTCGTATAATTCTACAGGCGTACAGTTTTAAAATAATGTCTGAACGCTCAATTGCTTATAACTCTTTATCCTTAAAAGCTGGGAGGTCTAAAACGATATATATTAAGGTAGCAACCTAGTAGCAACTATTGCTTTAAAAAAATCTCTATTTAGTTACGCAGTTTGTTCTCACTGGATAGGTGACCAGCCATTCTGACGTCAGAATGGCTGGTCACCTTAAAAAGTAGTTTATTTTGTTTTAATCGGGGGTAGCAACTATTTAACGATTAGTGGCAACTAGAAGCAACTAGGTAGCAACTTTCTATAATTATTTCGATGTAAAATATGGGTAGTGACCGGCCATTCTGACGCTCACAAATAAACAATGTTTAAATTCTATCATTAAAACATTTGCTTCTTCTTAAATTTTAAGTTTATTTAGTTACTTCTTACCAAAATGGACATAGAAACATAATTTACAAATACGAAAACTATGATAGTTTTCGTGAGCTCAAACTCGTACTAAGGGTACTGTTTTAGTAAACCGTTCGCTTTATGTCTCTCGTTGATGTCTTTTGTATGAGCGTTGTATAATATTCATTGTGCGATTATTGGAATTTTCGAATATTAATGTCCGATTACATTATTTTGTTTGGTTCTTTAATTTTTATACATACATAGAAAATGTTTTTATGGCCAGGACTATCGAAGGACTTTTGCCCGCGTAGGACCAAAATCCTTGAATCGTTAAGAACTTTTCACGGATTCAACGCACACGAACGGCTAACTAGAGCCGAGGTCCGAGTCTCAGAGATGCCCTCTAGTTCAGCCGACCCTCTCAGATTCGAATGGTCTAGAGACTCCAGACGGAGAGGAGACTACCCCTGTGGTGAGAATACCTCCAGAGGCACTCGCCAATTCTCGGCTGGAGGTGCCCTTAGGTTCTCGCCGTCCCCAAACCCGGTTACACTGTAAAGGTCATCTGCGACCAACAGCATATACACTCAAGAAAAACACGTGCAAACATTTGTCCCCCTAAATTTCTTAAAAGCGCACACTATGGAAGTTAATATTCTCAGATTACGTTGTATTGTGATTAAATTGAAGTTGTTAATGTTGAAACAGTAGGCGTTTCAAAAGAGTGTATACTGGGTCCATTTCTTTATAATGGATTGAGCACGCAACACGGACTAGAGTTCGCTGTGTACGTTGCTGCGCCTGAGTTCCTTTTTTTCTAGGACTCCTGCGTATTTTTGACCTGCCCGTCTCTCAGTGTACACGGTAGTTCAAAGGACTTGTGTACGCCGTACTTTTCGTATCGTTACTCGATGCAGTTATAAGCGATCTATTTTATTTATTTACGAATTTAGTACACACACAAAAAAACACATAAAAGGAACAAGAACGAGAAATTTGTACAAGGGCACTATTTTGGCGGACAAAAATACAGCGGACAAAAATCCCTCATCTGCGCAGGCTATTCTTGACTAGCAGCCTCGGGTCGGAAGTTCTTGACATCTTAATTACAGCTTTTCATGTTAGCCATCTACACAATTTGCGTCAACCTACAAGAGCACAATTACGTCCAAAATAGAAAAAAAGGGTTGTATTGTTTTACTGTGCTAGTAAGGTGGAAATTGCTTCCCCAGACGAGCGCTTCAATTCGAGCGGAAAATCTATCATAAGTTAACGCGAACGTATTCGCAGGCGGCCATTAGATACCTACCAATAAGTCAGTGTTAGATAATATTGTTGGATAATAACTAGGCAAAGGAACTAGGAAGTATACGTCTGCAAGTTACATTATTGCGTGTGTGCAGAAAAATTATGACAACTCATTTCTTCTATTCACATTACGCGAACGCACAATAATTCATAATTGAAATAATAATGAAAACTCAATACAGTACCCTTAGCAAGAACCAATATTGAATTCGTAACGTTTGCGTGTACTAAATGTCATTGTCAAATTTTGTATAAAAACTTGAACAGCAGCGCCTAAACGGGCGCAACGAGAACTAGAAATCAGTAAATACACACTTGACAATGACATTTTGTAACGTTCAAAATAAGGTTCCAGGGATCCACGGAGTAGGGATGTGGGTCAGGGTACACAACGGTGCGAACGATATTTTTAGTATAATCTATATATATAAAACTCAAAGGTGACTGACTAACATAGTGATCTATCAACGCACAGCCCAAACCACTCGATGGATCGGGCTGAAATTTGGCATGCAGGTAGATATTATGACGTAGGCAAGGGGATAA